CTATATTTTTTTCCACTGCACGGATAAATTCCTTGAGAAAACTATCCACCCTTAGTGTCTCTACTTCTTTTCTTCTCACTCTCTTCTAATCTGCAATCTCCCTTCTGACCTCAAATTAAAACTGCTCCAGTCTTACATCACCAACTGCCTCTTGAATATCTCACATTGGATGTCCTGTAAACATGCATTAAACTCAATGTATCCAAAACTGAATTCATTATGTTTTCTCCAAAATCTTTCCCTCTTCCCAATTTTGTGTTTATTACCAAGCGTACTAACATTTCTTTCTGTCATCCAACCTTGAAACCTTGATTTCAAACCCAAATTTTCACCTACCTGTGTTTAGTTCACATATACTATCTGTTGCTGTGTCTGGCTATTTCTATCTTTATACCATCTCTTGTATACTTCTTTCTACTAACACTGCCACCACCCTATTGCAGGCTCTTCTCCACTCATGCATGGCCTTCTGGTTGGTATCCTTACCATAAGTCTCTCTCCATTCTAATCCATGTCCCATTAGGCTATCAAAGTGATTTTTTAAATATGTGGTTCTGGCCCTATTGCTCCCCTCCTCAATAAAAACCAGTGGGTCCCTATTCGCTCCAGAATCAAATATAGCCTCCTCTGACATTTAAAGCACTTCATGACCTGGCCTCTTCTACATAATATAGCTTTATTACTCTTTACTCCCCTCTGTGGACTCTACAATCTAGTGACCCTGGACTTCTTGTGTTGTCCCATGTACAAGACTCCATCTCCTGACACTAAGTTTTTGTGAATGTCTGCTATGTCTGTGATACCTTTCCTCTTCACCTTCATTTTCTGGTTTCCCTAGCTTCTTTCCTTACTCAGTTCAAATCCCATATTCTGTAGGAGTCTTTTCTTGGTTCTCCACCCTCCCCATTTTCCATCCTCCATCCCTATCCTCTATCTCTCTATTGCTAGTGCCTTCTCTCAGAGATTTCTTTCATTTACACTGTATTTATCTTGTATATACAATTTTTTTGTACATTGTTTCCCCCCCAAGAAAGTGAGCTCTTTGAGGGAACGGATTAAGTTTTCACCTTTTACTATCCTCAGTGCTTAGCACAGTGCTTCACACATAGTAAGTGATTAATAAATGCCTGTTGGCCGACCAATTGATCCTATTCCTTCCATGTCATCTGTGAACACATTTCCAGCCCATCTTTGCCGAGTCAATCCAAAAGCCTTAGAATCCTGGACTGGTAGAACTGGAAGGGACCTTAAAGATCATTTAACTCAATCCTCTCATTTTATACATAAAGAAACTGAGGCTCACAGAGGTCAAATAACTAATTTAATTATAGATAACTAGTTACTGGCAAAGTTAGAACAAAAATACAGGTCTCCTGAATCCCATCTCAGTGAAACAACTATGATATAATGGAGAGAGGAGAGAGAGAGGAAAAAAAGAGAGAGAGAGAGAGAGAGAGAGAGAGAGAGAGAGAGAGAGAGAGAGAGAGAGAGAGAGAGAGAAAGAGAGAGGTGGATTTGAGTCCCAATTCTGATAACTATGAACTAGCTATGTAACCTTAGGCAACTTATTTCACCCTTCTGAACCTCAGTTTCCTCTCTCTCTAAAAAAAAAAAAAAGAGGATTAGATAATCTGTAAGATCCCTTTTCAGCTCTAATGATATAAAGTTCTGGAGTTCTTTCTATTATGTAATATCCTGACTCTGGGAACCAAACTCCATGGGGTTATGTATTTAAGGAACTGACAGGCATTTTTGAGGAGTCCATCAATATAGAAGCAGAGCATGGGGGTGCACAATCCACTTCCAAGGTAATTCAACCCTGACTCCGGGATCTATGTCTAGGGCAAAAAAAATTGAAGTCCATGCCCAGTGGATTCTCTGCTTCTCTGCAACCAAAGTTACTAAAGGTTCCAGTACATTAGTTATTTAGTGCTAGAAGGGACTGAACCCTTAGAGGATAAAGGTTACTTTACCAAATGGATGATAGGGAATAGCTCCTCTCAGGGTGTTCTAGTACCATGAGCGCTGGCTTCGGTGTCTACAGACCTCATTTCAAATCCTATTTGAATGCCACTAGCTATTGGCTAACCTCTCTGGGCCTCAGTTTCTTCATCTGTAAAGTAAAATGACTTCTGAGGTCCTTTCCAGTTCTGAATCTATGATCCTATGATCAGTTCCAACCAAGTCTACATTTCAAGCAGGGCACTGAGTATAACACTTTTAATTCCCCTCTTTTGCCCACAAGAGAAACTTTTGCTTAGGTCAAAGTCATGCTGAGGCTTACCTAACACTTCCCCAGCAGAAAAACTGGTTAGTTTCCTATTTCTGGCCAAGGTGGAAATTCTCTTTCTGACCTTCATTGACTAGTAACTAATCACTTAGACACCTTTCTTTGTGTAGAATTGTCAAAGGTGAAATTCTCTAGGAGTTTCCAACAGGCAAGATTAGCAAGGACTTAGTGAAGTCCAGCCAAACACCTGCCCACTCCCAAAATCTCAAGAGTGTTTCTTGGGCTGCTCTATTTGTCACTGAGATTTCTTGAGGCTCTGTCTTTGAGAGGGAGGAAGTGTTTCATTCATTGCCAGGTGTACTGGAACTGCCGTGTGTGTGTGTGTGTGTGTGTGTGTGTGTGTGTGTGTGTGTGTGTGCGTGTGTGTGTGTGTGTCTGTGTGTCTGTGTGTCTGTGTATTAAAGAGATGAGAGGAACATGACAAAGAGGAGGCGGAGTTCATTTCTTAGTAGCTTTGGAGAAAATTTTTAAAAATTATGTGTATGATTTGAGGAATGGGAAAGATTGAATGAAAAGCCACTTCCTCTCTCAGGCTCATATGTAACCCTGAGATAGTGAGAAGCTAAAAACCCTAAAGAGCTGTTTTAACCTCCGTGTGGTCCCTCCATGCTGATGATATCTTAAGATGAATAGATTAAACGAGAAGAGACGTCTCCAGATATCTTCGAGAAAATCTCAAGATATGGAGGTCTGGCTGGGAATAGAGACTCCCACTATATCAGTAAGAAGGGATCTCAGTCATTATTCTAGTTGATCATTTGTACAGATGAGACTGAGGCCCAGAGAAGGAAGGACATGACTTGTCCAGGATCACATGATTAGCTAGTGGCAAAGTTTTGTATTAAAACCCAGGTTTCTTGATTCATAACCTATCGCTCTTTCCGCTCAACTAGGTCAGATCTGACCTTGGCATTAAATTAGTAATGGTGATGATAAAAGCATAGGAAAATAATCTTTGTATCAAATACACTGATAAAAGTCTGATGTCCAAGATATGGAGGTGGCTGACATACATTTAAGACTGAGTCATTAAGTAAATGATCAAAGGATATGAGCAATTTTCAAAAGAAGACATACAAAATAGCAATCACCATATTTTTTTAAAGTGCTAAATCACTAATAAGAGAAATCCAAATGACAACAATTCTCAGGGTTTACCTTATGCTTAGCAAGTTGGCAAAATGATAAACCATAAAAGATTAAAATGGTCAATGTTGGAGGAACTGAGGGAAGATAGGCACACTAATATACTCTTGGTAGAATTAGAAGTTGGTCCAACCATCCTGGAAAATAATTCATAATTATGCAAGAAAAACCACTGAATTATTTGTATCTTTTGAACCAATGACCCTTCTGTTGGACATAAATCCCAAGGAGGTCAAACACACACAAAAAAACCCCTATATAAACTATACTTTTCTGGAAGCAAAACTGATTGCTAAAAAAAATGTGGTATATGAATTAATGGAATGTAATTGTACTGTAAGGAACAATGAATGTGAGGAATAAAGGGGAAAATGGGAAGATATGTATGAACTGAGGCAGAGCAAAGAAAGCAGAGATAGGAGAACAACATATACAACTACAATAACAGTAAATAAACACAACACTAAAAAGTAATTAAATTCAGATTAAATGCATTGACTAATATTGGTCCCAGAGGGCAGACAAGGAATTTGGTTCCTTCCTCTTAATAGAAAGATGGGATACTATCAAGACAGGATGATGTAGATGCTGTATTGATTAATTTTGCTGCACTCTTTTTCTGTATTATAAGGAGAGGGAGTGCTGTCCATCAAATAAGGGTATTGCTGTAAAAGGCAAAATACATCAATATAACTTTTTAAAAAAGCATCGTTGTTAAAAATGATGTGGGTTTGAATCCTGCTTATGATTGTTATTAGTTGTATGATTATGGACAGGTCAGTTTCTATGAACCTCTGTTTCCTTATCTATAAAATGGGAATAATAAAACTTGTATTTCCTCACAAGGTTGTTGGGAGGATCAAATGAGCTAACATACATAAAAAGCTTTCAAAACTACACGGGGTATATAAAGTTAGCTGTTATATCACAGGGATTTAGAGAAAAAGCAAGAGGGAAAGGAGGAAATAAGAGCAGCTATTAAATTAGTTGTGTGACCTTGGGCAAGACATTAAACCTCTCTGGGCCTCACTTTTCCTCACCTGTAAAATGAGAGAGTTGGAGGAGATGACCTCTCAGGTGCCCTTCCAGGGCTGCCATCCAATGATTCTGCCCAGGGTTTTAAAAAGTACCCAACCCCATGAGATCTTCCCCATGTGTCTTCCCAATGAGCCTGCCATTCGTTCAGACTTGTTCACCAATTTTCCATTCCCACCCTCCTTTAGCCCCCAGAGGCCAAGTTCTGCTGGCAGTGGCTACGGCCATGGCAGCAACAGCAGCAGCATCCCCACTGGGCAGAGGCAGCTAAGGCTGCTGAGAGGTGCCTAGGCCCACAATAGAAAAGCATGTCAGCTCAGCTCGGCTGAAAGGTAGCTGGGTGCAACCTGGTCTCAGGACAGATCAGCCAGCTTCCTCCTTCTTTTAACACATGCCCAGCCCAGCTCTTCCAGATTTCACGGAGGGGAGTCCCAAATAAGATGTGTCTGTAGGTAGACCCTGTGGGTTCTTTTTGCTCATGCCCTACTGTGTCTAATCACAGAGGAAGAGAAAGCCATTCTCTCTTTACCTGATTCTGTCCTTCTCTGCCCTCTGGAGCTCCTCGTTTCTCTCTAGGACCTGCAGGATCTGTCTGGCTTCTTCATCATTTAAGAAACTGAAATCAAACACCTGAGGAACTTTCGTCATTTTCTTCAGTGTGTAGGATTTACATTTAAGTCCCTTGGCGCCTCCTGCTACGTAGACATTTTCCAAGGCATTAAAAATACCTTCATGAGCCTGGCCTGTTAGCCAATAGTAAGCCCTCTTCCTCCGAGAGTCTGAAACTACACTCCTGTGGCACAACCCACACCTACAGGGCTCATTTTGACAACACCTTAATGACACAATTCTCTCTGCCTGACCAATCAAGACTCACCAGGGAAGCCCGGGGGTGGAGAGGGAGCCAATCTCTTTGCAAAGGGGCGGGTTCCTACTTGACTTTTCCTCCCTCTCCCTAATTAAGATTGTTAAACAAACATTCTGTACCTTAGTTCTACCCATAAGAGAAGCTAAGACTTTAAATATTTGCTTTAAATATCGGACACGGAGGTGTTTACCTTGGCCATACTAGTTGATGGCACAACCTAAGCATGGATATTAGAGGAATTTTAAAAGGGAATTGAGGTCACTTTAGATCTGTAATTGAAGTCTTCCCTTTCCACAAATGCCTACAAGTCTCCAGGAAAAAGGTAGCACTGCAAAATGGAAATATTTGAAATTAAAGAGTTTCTCATTTAAAAGATGAGAGAGAGAGAGAGAGAGAGAGAGAGAGAGAGAGAGAGAGAGAGAGAGAGAGAGAGAGAGAGAGATATGTCATGTAGTCTCATAGTTTCTGGGGAGCAGAAGTGTGGTGTCTCTACTAAGAATGAATTCTTTGTCATTCCTCCAGGCCTGTCCCAAACACACCCTTCTATGGGTGGTCTCACAAATCAGCCTCAGACTTCCTGAGTCTGGTGACTACCTAATTTGAAAAGTCTCCGTGATAAAAGTAAGAGAGAGACCTACATGCTAGATGCCAGGCAAGTGGTCCAGCATACTATTAACCTTCAAGGTTGTGGTAGCCTTAGTAATATTCATTAGATGACAAGGGAAGTGACCCTTTTACCACATTCCCACTGGGTGGAGCTGGAGGGAGTATGCTGGGCTATTCTGACCTCTCTCTTTTCCCTCTTCCCCTTGCTGCTAAGAGTCTTACAGGAAAACCTGACTGGTTAGGAAAGGTGGAGATTTAAGAAGGCATCATGGTGTGGTAAAAAGAACTCTGAACTTGGAGTCACAGGACTTGAGTTCTATTATCTATCACTTAATACCAGAGTGATCTTATGTAAGTCACTCACTTTTTTGACTTTAGAGTCCTTATTGGTAAAATGAGAGAGTTTGGACTAAATGATTTATGTGGTGCTTTACAATCCTAAATCTATAATCCTAGTAGGGGTGTGTGTGTGTGTGTGTGTGTGTGTGTGTGTGTGTCTATGTCTGTGTGTGTGTCTGTGTCTGTGTGTAAGAGACAGAGACAGAAATAGAGACAGAGAGAGAGACAGAGAAAGAAAGACGACAGGGTGGAGAGGAAGGGCAGAGAAAAGAGTCTTCAACTAATTTTAAACCTAGGCTAGTCCCTCTGCAAGTCTGGAGCATGGACCCAAGTTGGAAGAAATCGAGGGGGAAGGATGGAAGGGAAAAAGGGAGCTACTCCATAAATAACTTGGGAACTAGGAAAAATGAGTGGAAGTTGCCAAGAAATAAATTTCTGCTCTAAGTAAGGAAAAACTTCCCTAGAGATGGGAGCTGTCCCAGGGAGTCCTCTTCATTGAAGGCCTTCAAGCATGGACTGGATGACCACTTGTCAGGCATATTATAGGAGGGAATTCTTGTTCATAATAGGGATGTCCTCTGATGTGCTCTGAGATCCCTTCCAAATCTGAGATTCTATGATTCTGTGAACTTAAAGGAACCATGTAGGATGAACACTACAGTACTGTAAGCCCAACTCTCTTGAAATAGAAGCATTTCTGATTTCTCTGGACTCTGTACTCAAAGGTCGGTTTTATGGGATTATTCAAAAGTTGTGAGTGTCCACATTGAGCCCTAGTCCCTGGTGACACCTCCTTGCTTTACCTCCAGGGCATGGAGATATTCATCAGATTGTCTTCTAATTGTAGCAGCTATAGAATAGTAGTAATCTCTAGGAATCTTTTCCCACACTCTCCCAACTCTACCAGTCTGTAGGCCTGATTCTACACCAGGATACTTACTAGTCCGTTTCCCATCAACTCACCTAACCCAGAGTCAGGATTTCACCACTCAGCTGCCTGTTTGAAGGTCGTAAAATCATAGATTTGGAGTTGAAAGAAACTATAGAGGTCATTTAGTCCAGTTCCCTTATTTTAGAGATGAGGAAGCTGAAGCTAAAAGAGACTGAGGGATTCTCTTGAGGTCATACAGGTAGTCAGTGCTAGAACTCAGGTGTGCTAGAACTCAGATTTGGACCTGGGCCCACTGAATCTAAATCTAATGCTCTTTTTCCCACACCATACTATCATTTTTAACTCATCCTAAAATCCCAATGGACCACTGCAAAGTCCTTGGACTATTGTGTTTATTTTTTCAGCTCATGAAATACGATGGGAATTGCAGGGTGGGAGGTAGATTAAAAGAGAAAAGACAAGCATAAAGTGTTGCTCCTTTCTGATTTGGAAAATTTTATTAATTTTAATAAAGGGGCAGAAAGAGATAGATGTGAAAGAAATATTTAGGGGGCAGCTAGGTGGCCCTGAAGTCAGGAGGACCTGAGTTCATATCTGGCCTCAGACCAAACACTTGACACTTACTAGCTGTGTGACCCTGGGCAAGTCACTTAACCCCAATTGCCTTAAAAAAATTTTAAAAAAGAGAATATTTAGGTAGCATCTCATGGAGAAAAGACACAAAGTGTCTTGTTTCCTACTGTCTAACTTACAGATGATAGGGATGAAGTTTTAAGGTTGTTACTAGGAAACCCAAACACCTAGAAAAGTGGGGGCTATGGGAACATTGCATGTCATCTGGTTGTGGTTTGACTGATAGTTATGTGGGGTCCGTGTTATTACCATAAGATAGAATTGAGTAATTTCACACAAGAGATCCTCCTTTAGAGCAGTAAGGTTGATCAAGACCTGACCTCCAAGTAAATCTAAGAGGAGTCCTTAGAGGTCAGTCTAAGAAGCAGCCTCAAAGCAGGGTCACAGCAAGACCCCTGAGCTTCTATTGCCCTCTGCTGCTGGAAAGAACAGGACTGGAAGAAAAGCTTTGAAGAGTTGATTGGAAGAGAAAGGTTCTCCCAATGCCAGGTGTGGTCTGAGAAGTGGAAGTTCCTCGTATCCCACACAAAGGAAATAACCTAGTAAAGCTCTGCAGGCTGAGGGTTCTTATTTTACTCAAAGTGCTTAAGAGTGTTTTAGAAGCCCAGAAGATAAGTGGGAAATAGCAGCCAGCAGAGAAGCCACCCTTCCTAGCAGGAAATAGGACTCAGAGGAGGAGCAGCCCTGCTCATCAATGAACTGTTATACAGACTATTCCTGAAGGTGACGATGGACATAAAGGCCCACCGTTAAGAGTCGTGAGTTGTCTGAGGTACCACCTTGTGCCTTTCAGATTGGCTGATATGACAGAAAAGGGCTATAAAGCTGTGCATGCTCTTCGATCCAGCAATACCACTATTGGGTCTATATCCAAAAGAGATGAAAAAAATGGAAAAGAACCTATATGTACAAAAATATTTATAGCAGCTCTTTTTGTGGCGGCAAAGAATTGGACATTGAGGGGATGCTCATCATTGGGGAATGGTTGAACAAGTTGTGGTATGTGAATGTAATGGAATACTGTTGTGCTATAAGAAATGATGAGCAGGCAAATTTTAGAAAAACCTGGAAAGACTTACGTGAAATGATGCAAAGTGAAGTGAGCAGAACCAGGAGAACATTGTACATAGTAACAGCAATATTGTGTGATGATCAACCATGAATGACTTAGCTATCCCTAGCAATGCAATGATCCAAGACAATTCCAAAGGACTCATGAGATGCTATTCACATCCAGAGAAAGTATAGATGGAATCTGAATGCAGATCAAAACATACTAGTTTAACTTTATTTTTTTTCATGTTTTTTTTTCTTTTGGTCTGTTTCCTTTGCAACATGACTAATATGTTTTACATGATTGTACATGTATAACTTACATTAAAGGGGAAGAAGGGAGGAAATTTGGAGCTCAAAATTTTTAAATGAATGTTAAAATTTGTCTTTATGTGTAATTAGAAAAAATAAAATACTATTTTAAAAAAGGAGTTGTGAGTTGTTGTGGGCAAAAGTATTTCCCACTCACATATCTATCTATATGTTATGGTTTTGCAAGTTTGTGTCCATTCTCCCCCATGGATACTGACAAGGGAGTGTATCACAGGTTTATGGGTGGAGTGTTATGATTTAATTATATTTGCTTTGCTAGGTGGCGCAGTGGATAGAGCGCCGGCCCTGAAGTCAGGAGGACCTGAGTTCAAATCCGGCCTCAGACCAAACACTTGACACTTAACTAGCTTTGTGACTCTGGGCAAGTCACTTAACCCCAATTGCCTAAAAAAAAAATTGTGCTTGCTTTGCCTAGTTTGTTTCTGATTAGGAGTTAGTGGTGTCATATTGTTCAATTTGTTAAATAGGAAGCAGAACAGTTTGGTATCAGGAGCTACAATTATAAGTGTAAACAGGTAAAGTGTACTTTACATATTAGCATCACACTTAGGACCTAAGTGGTAGCCACATGGCCATTGCCTCTAAGATCCCCAAGTTGTTGGGGGGCAGTACTAGGAAGGTAAGTGAGCCAGCTCAAAGAGACAATGAGGGAGGCAGGTGTGATGCCCGTGACAATGCATTACACAAAATGAGTAAAACAATTCAATGTTGTGTCATGTTAAGAGATCTTTTCTGGCAATTGGCTTTGAGAGGAGAGTTGTCAAAGCTACTTTTCTCTTCATATTACCTTTTCTTTATTGTGTACTAGGTGGTACAGTGGCTAAAGCATCAGGCCACAAGTGAGGAAGATCTGTGTTCAAATTTAGCCTCAGACACTTATTAGCTGACCCTGGATGAGTCACTTAACCCTATTTGCCTCAGTTTCCTTATCTGTAAAATGATAGAGAATGAAGTGGCAAACGCTCTAGAATCTTTGCCAAGAAGAACCCAAATGGGGTCATGAAGAGTCGGACACGACTG